CCTTTTATAGTGATACTGTTGGTAGACTCTTGGAATGGGTATTTTAGAAGAACTATGGACATAAGCTTTGAAAACAGTAGAATTACAGAAATAGTTTAATAGAAATTGTTTAATTTCAGAAAGAATCTTACGCCTTTAAAATAGTTTCGAATTTTGATAACAGATGGCGCGCTAGTGCGTCATATAAAGCATATGTGCTCCTGGTCAGGATATGGTTTTTTTATTTTTAATATCCTAAGTATAGTCTAGAGAAGATTCAGACATTTTGTCTCCTCTGCAGCACCAAACATTGCATGGTGTTTTCTAACAACGCAGGAATGCAGGGTAATGCGCCTCCAGGGAGCATGACGTAAACTGAGGAAGAAAAATAGTCCTCATTTTAAAATTCTGGAAGTATTTATAAAGGCCATTTATCAATACGCTCCTAATGGAGGAAGCCTGATCGTTATCTATGAAAAACAAAATATTTTTTGTGTTTTGACTTTGGAACATGTTATTTTAAACTTGACTCTTAATGGATAGTCTTCTGGAATAAAAATGTAAATAATTTATTTTAATAATTTTTCACTATTGACTCCGTTACATAGTTTTTAAAATCATTTCACCAGAATATATGGAAATTGATACATATTTTATGGGGGTCGGTGGAAGGATGGTCTAAACCGTTGGTTTTCGACCGCTACGACCCGGGTTCGATTCCCGCATTGGGCACTTTTATATGTTTAAAAAATGCTCCAATGGCCCCCCGAATCTTGCAAAAGTCCAACCTCACCAGCGAATGCAAGTAAGCAAACGGGGCTCTGGCACATTTGTAAGTGCAAAGTCGAACTGCTTTTCACATGTGTAGACATGTGGTGTGCTTACAGTAAAAGCAGTCGTATTCTACCCACCATGATTATCATGGCCTTTACCACGTGTACTAGGGATAAGAATAGAAAATACATATTTATCGATACTTTTTTATCAATTAAATCCTATTTTTATAATTCTTACACTGCAATGATAAATAATATGAGAGATTGTGGCTCATCATTGGTGGAACCCTCCCAACGGTTTCGCCAGTTTGATCTCCACACAGACCGTTTACTACAATATCATACTCTAATTGTCCAATATAGTTTATATTTTCTATAATATTGAATGACAGAGATGTTTAAGGCCACTATAGATATGAAAAATTAGCGTTAATATTTGTCATGAGTTTTAAGAGCTAAAGAAAGGTCGAATGAAAAAACTCGGTTCCAGAATAAATGTGATGTAACCTTGATTATAATATATGAATTTTGTCCCAAACCCATGTACAAATGATAATAGAATAAATACTACCCCATAGATGTCTTCTATATATAACACAATAGTTCATGAATTTATAAAATTTAATTTGAAGTCTCGAGATATCATTTAACCAGCACGTATCATCGACCACGCATGTATATTTTCAAAAATATTTGTTTTTCAAATTGATATAACCATCGTTTCAGTTTTAATTGTGTTTTTATTCGGTTATTGAGTTTGTAGGATTGTTGCGTGATGTGTTGGTGTGGCTTGTGGAAAGGCTGCTGATAAAATTATAATTAAAATTAGTTTATTTAAAGCCAGAAATATATAAAGACAAAAGAAACAACGGTTGAAGTAACGGCCGTTGGAGCAAGCTTAGTTGTTTACCGCGTGAGTGGCCAGAGTCTCTGATGACGTCCCGTGCGCATGCGTGGTCAGGTTGACGCTCGCGGTTGCCGATGCCGTCCACTGCCCCCTGTGTGAAGTGGAGCTTTGTCAAAGTGTAGTCGTCACACTTTGTATATGATGAATTGTATATAGGTTGCTAAAATAATCCATTTTGGATTTTTTTCTTCTGTTTTAGAATACCATCGTTCAAGTTTCAATTATGTTTTTAGTCCGGTTATTAAATTATATAAAATGAATTGTATATAAGCTGCTAAAATGTATTTAGGCGCAAGTATCCCGAGCTGGGATATCGCGTCCGATATGTCTAATAAAAAAAAACAGAAATAATGTAATATATTCTTCTCTCAATATATCATAAGTATTTAAAATATGTAAATAATAACGTGTATATAAAAATTTTATTTATTATTAAGTTGTTAACGTGATAATCCTGTTGAAGGACTGACAAGTCCGAAAACTTGAAAATAAAATGTTTGCACAAGAAACTTAACCCTGGAAGCTTTATTTATTGTATAATAAATTAAAGTCTCAAAAACAAAAAAAGAAGGGGATGATGAAAATATACTTGGTTACGCTGGTGCGCTAGAAACCGTAGTTACCAAGGCATGGTTCGCAAACGGGATCTGACCTTATGTAAGCTGGGGAGGTAGTGCACTATTTTATAGATGTTTTGTTTTTATCACGTTGTTGGTTTTCTATATTTCTGCCCTCACTGTTAGGACATACAGAATCCAATAAACCTTGTACTGTCCCAGGTTGTAGACCCTGTCTATCAATGTTGGAACTCAAAATTCGAAATTATTTTAAAGGCGTAGCAACAGTATCACTATAAAAGAAAGTTCCAAAAATGCATTATAACAGCGGTATGGTAGATTAAACTGGCGAAACCGCTGGGAGGGTTCACCACTGATGAGCCAGGCCCTCCCATTTATTTTCCATTGCAGTAAGGGCAGTCGAAATTGTTTATTTTCAAAAAGAATCTTACGCCTTTAAAATAATTTCGAATTTTGATAACAGATGGCGCGCTAGTGCATCATATTATAAATGTTGTAACTACAGTACCCACACCATCCTGCGACACACTCCGTCTTCCTCAGTCGTCTGCCAATAATGTTCCCTGGCAAGTTGTCAACAACAATCACATTGACTCGGTCCAGCGATGTCGCATCTTTAATAACAGCCGAATGTTGGTTATAATCGTTTGAAAGAAATGTTTCTCTAATTCCGTTCAATAAACTAACTTTTTAGAAACACTCTCCGCGTCTTTCCTATTTTAAAAAAGATAAAAACCTTACAGAAAAGTTTGTTTATTTGTACAAAAATTTAAGCAATGCTTCAATATCTTAAAAATGTGTTTTTGATATTTATTTATATGCAATTAACTTTACTTCTTATGGAATATTCCGCTTTGAATTATATTTTTTAAAAATAAAAATGTATTAATTTTATATACACTTGCCCATTCGATAAATATATAAACACTATAAAATATACCTTATTAATATAAAAGTTTAGGGCTCCTCTCCCGTCAAAATAAACCTCAAAACCTGACGCCATCTATTGACCGTCGCCGCAACTAGCGGCCTCGGGTCGGTGACAAAGCCACAACACCAGCTTTGGCAAACTGAGAAGCGTCCACCTAGAGACCATTGCCAAAGCTGGTGTTATGGCTTTGTCACCGACCCGAGGTCGCTAGTTACGGCGACGGTCAATAGATGGCGTCTTGTTTTGACGTTTATTTTGACGGGAGAGGCGCCCTATGCTTCTATGGATCAATTTCCTCCCAGCAAATTTTCCATCTATGTATTAATATAATCTTTTCAAATATTCACATAGCATTTATTTACAACAATTACATCACCAATAATCTATTCTACATTTTAATTACAAGTCTTTCTGGGTATTTTCAAAATACAAATAAATAGTGCAGTTATAATGCCTAATATTTATATTTCCAAAACTCTTCTGAGAAAAAGCAACCTAAATTATTCATCCGTTATTAAACATATTTATTAGAAATTTAAATAAAATAAAATATTTTATAAAGTATACAAGTACTTGTATAGAAAAGCGGCGTCGACCTGAACTTAATTGCTTTTTGTGATACAAACTTTCAAATATAACAAGGAATTTATAATTAGTAAATTAAATTTATAAATTCAATTACCTTCTATCGATAAAATGTGTAACAAACAAATTTACTGGCAATGTGTTTCTTTTTAATAATATCATCGATCTCTACAGACCTTACTGTAATGATATAAGTTAATGAATGAGAGGGCTTGGCTCATCAGTGGTGAACCTTCTCAGCGGTTTCGCCAAATTAATCTCCAGACCGCTCTACTATTGTATTGGTTTGGTTTCGGATATAACCTACATTTTCTATGGAAGACAGCTTAGGGTGTTTAGTGAACCTATGGACATAAACTATAGCTTGCGGAAGAGCTTTGCTCGATGTAATACCTTGAAATTATATGTACCTCTACAGACCTATAAGCTTATGTCCATAGGTTCACTAAACACTCCTAAGCTGCCTTTCATAGTAAATACAGGATATATAACAAAACCAATCCAATACAATAGTAGAGCTGTCTAGAGATTATATCGGCGAAATGCTTACAGGGCTCACTACTGATGAACCAAGCCCTCTCATTCAATAACTTATCATGGTAGTAAAAGGTCTGTAGAGATAATATTTGATGATATTATTGAAACGAAACACATTTTCAGTAAATTTATTTGTTACAAATTTCAAGTAAATCATAATGTTAAATGGCAATATACCATGATAGCAATGAATATTTTCTAACGCATATATGGTTAATGATGGGTTTGGGTACGTCTCTTGAATGATTGGAATCTTTGAACGTCTTCATTTTTATTCTGCTGCTTGTATATTCGAATGCACGCTGAAGGAAGGAAGAATTTTGGTTGAGGTTGCTTCCACGTGGCCATAATCATAGAGCAATATTCTGATCAGAAGTTGTTTCGATGTCCACAGCTCCAGCCATTAGTGGGATTCTTCTTCTTCCTTATCTCGACTCAATAATATTAGGATCTGGGTGAAGTAGAATGTCTTTTTCATTAAGACTTGGAGCACTACTCAGTGGCAGGCCACAGACTTAGCTCCAAATGAAACGGCCGCCTCTGACATGAGGAACAGACCATGTGCAGCCGTACAAACGCTGCTCATCCTGTATCCCTGGAGCCCTTACAGGGTACTATCAGCTGGGCCAGCTGAGCCCAGGTTTTTTAGTGAGCTTGTTACTGCTCCCAAAAATAGATATTTCTACCAGAGTCTAAAACTTCCCTGTTCTCCATCTGAACTGTACCATCTCACGAAAGATATTGGTTTGCGCACGGTACTTATAAGCAGTACTTGTGAGTGATGCCGAGGTTGTGAGTTCGAGTCTCACCTGGAGAATTTTTGGGGGGCCAGTTGAAGGGTGTTCTAAACCGTTGGTTTTCGACCTCTACGACCCGGGATCTGATCCTGCATTGGGCACTTTTTTTTCTAATTGAAAAGATACTCCAATGGCACCCGAATTTTGCAAAATTCCAAGCCCACCAACGAGTGCAAGTAACCAAACGGAGATCTGGCAGATTTGTAAGTGCAAAGGTCGAACTGCTTTTCACATGTGTAGACATGTGGTGTACTTACAGTAAAGGCAGTCGCCTACTTCTACCCACCATGATTATCATGGCTTGTACCACGTGTACTAGGGATAATAATAAGTAAGATGTGGTCAACACGGCAGCGTTCCTAGTAGTGGAGAGGTTTATACCCACATCATATTACCCTTTTTTTTTTTGCTTATCCTTAGTACACGTGGTACAGGCCATGATAATCATGGTGGGTAGAGGTTGTCGACGACTGCTTTTACTGTAAGTGCACCACATGTCTACACATGTGAAAAGCAGTTCAACTTTGCACTTACAAATGTTCCAGAGCCCCGTTTGGTTACTTGCACTTGCTGGTGGGGTTGGACTTTTACAAGAAACCGGGGACATTGGAGTATTTTTTATCAGAAAAAAAAGTGCCCAATGCGGGAATCGAGCCCGGGTCGTAGCGGTCGAAAACCAACGGTTTAGGCCATCCTTCCACCGACCCACTTCATATTTTACCCTCGTTGTTATAATTCAATAGCGGTGCGGTACTGACTACCTGACAACATTCTATACAGCTACGATGTATAAAACTTAATTGGATTATTTTGTATAATACAACGTACAAATGTCCTCGCACTGGCCTAATATAAGTAACACTTATAGTCTTCTTCTTTCTCATCTCCACTCAATCATATCAGGGTATCAACCTTGTAAAGCTTGTTGATGGTGTCTGCTGGGGATGTGTCTTCTTCTTTCTTATCTCCACTCAATCATATCAGGGTATCAAGCTTGTAGAACTTGTTGATGGTGTCTGCTGGGGATGTGCCTACTTCTTTCTTATCTCCACTCAATCATATCTGGGTATCAAGCTTTTAGAGTTTGTTGATGGTGTCTGCTGGGGATGTGTCTTCTTCTTTCTTATCTCCACTCAATCATATCTGGGTATCAAGCTTTTAGAGCTTGTTGATGGTGTCTGCTGGGGATGTGTCTTCTTCTTTCTTATCTCCACTCAATCATATTAAGGTATCAAGCTTGTAGAGCTTGTTGATGGTGTCTGCTGGGGATGTGTCTTCTTCTTTCTTATCTCCACTCAATCATATCAGGGTATCAAGCTTGTAGAGCTTGTTGATGGTGTCTGCTGGGGATGTGTCTTCTTCTTTCTTATCTCCACTCAATCATATCAGGGTATCAAGCTTGTAGAGCTTGTTGATGGTGTCTGCTTGGGATGTGTCTTCTTGTTTCTTATCTCCACTCAATCATATTAAGGTATCAAGCTTGTAGAGCTTGTTGATGGTGTCTGCTGGGGGTGTGTCTTCTTCTTTCTTATCTCCACTCAATCATATCAAGGTATCAAGCTTATAGAGCTTGTTGATGGTGTCTGCTGGGGATGTGTCTTCTTCTTTCTTATCTCCACTCAATCATATCAGGGTATCAAGCTTGTAGAGCCGCGTTATATTGTATTTTAAATGTTACTTTAAGTATTAGTTACGAACGGAAAAATACGTCCAGGGTAGCCGAGTGGACAAGGCACCTGCCCGGTAAGCAGAAGGGTGTGGGTTCGATTCCCGCCCCTGGACACTTTTTATTTTTCCGTTCGCCATTACTCTTCATGTTTCACCTTTCCATACCTCATCCTCAAAGTTAGAAATGTCGCTATTTCTCTTTGAAAATAAATTTCGATTTTTATAAAAGAAACATTCGCGGTATAATTTCAATTTTCGTTTTACAATCATCAGCCGCGTTATATTGTATTTTAAATGTTACTTTAAGTATTAGTTACGAACGGAAAAATACGTCCAGGGTAGCCGAGTGGACAAGGCACCTGCCCGGTAAGCAGAAGGGTGTGGGTTCGATTCCCGCCCCTGGACACTTTTTATTTTTCCGTTCGCCATTACTCTTCATGTTTCACCTTTCCATACCTCATCCTCAAAGTTAGAAATGTCGCTATTTCTCTTTGAAAATAAATTTCGATTTTTATAAAAGAAACATTCGCGGTATAATTTCAATTTTCGTTTTATGAATATGTTTGTTATATTGCAGTCGTGATAAAAATAATAAAAATAGTTTAGATCAGAAATAACTTTAATTAAGCTTATGGAACATAAATACATAATTTGATAAAAGTACTGCCTGGTTTAAGGCGTAAGAATAAAAAAAAAGAAAAACTTATTTACATAATGTACAAAATATTTGAGCCGGCCAACGGGAAACAACAACAATAGGTTATATAGGGAAGTCGCGACATCTGGTGGTAGACTTAACAGAATAGTTTAATCTATGCAATATTATTTTATTTAAAATTATATTTCATATATTCAAATACTCAGCTAAATCGACCGCCAGAGGTCACTCTTTCCCTACAAAACTCATTGTTGTTTTTTCCCGATGGCCGGCTCAAATCTTTTGTACATTATTTAAATAAATTTTTTATTTTTTTTTATTCTTACGCCTTAAACCAGGCAGTACTTTATCAAATTATGTTTGTTCATATATTCCTTTAGCTCAATTAAAGCAATGGCTGATCAAAACTTTTTTAATTATTATTCTTTCAAGATTTTAACCACGACTGCATTAACATAGAATAATCCTCAAGATAATCTAAAATCAACAGGAATATTTTTTATAACATATATGTATAAATATCTGTAGGTACCATAAATATATATGTTACAAAACTATGTAAATCCAAAAAATGATTTGTTAAAGTTGAAGGTGCAGTCGTCTTGAATTTAATTAAAAAAGAGAAAATCAGTCTCAAGAAGTTTATTTTTGAACTCTTTGAGCAAAAAGATTATATTAATTTTAAGTAAATATCGAATTTTAACATTTAATTCTATATCACTATTTACATATTTATATAAAATAAAAATCTAACTTACCTAACCTCTACTAAAAAACAAAACAATCTATTTATTTTTAAGGTGGCGCCATCTAGTGGCCAAGAATAACAGAGTTATTTTAAACAGATTATTAATAAAATAATATGTACAAGGATTTACATCTATGACACTTCTATAAATTATTTTTTTAAAATTATATAACATATATATACTAGCGAACCCGGCCACGCGTTGCTGTGGCTAAATTGTAATATGTTAAATTAACATCATACTAAACTATTCAGTACAGTAACGTTAATATTTACTTACAAAGATAAAATAGCCCTTCATTGTAATCATTGATTATAATCACTGCATTAATAAATGTCAGTGAACTCGTTTATATGTATTGTTTTTTGTTTTCGAGATATTCTAATAGAACGTTCTCACATTTTCTGTAAAATATTTATATATGCACAAACACAGAATATAATCACTATGTCTTAATTTCGCTATAATTATTGTTATAAATATTATTCTAAAATAATTCGCCAGAAATCGTCCTGATAGTATACTAAACAACTTCCCAAAGTTTCATGGCAAACATCTAAAATAAAATAATACTTTTAATACTTTGCTACAATATTAAAAAGAGGGGGGCTTAGGTGTTTAAAATGTAAAATGTGCTCTAAATAGTATTACATAGAGCCTCCATAACAAACATATTTAAAATAAAACAATCAAAATATAATAATGCTGTAAAAACAGACCTTGCTACAATAATATAAAAGAAACGAAAATAAAAAAAGACACCCACGCTGAGCCTCGAACCTAGGTTTGTTACAAATATTATTAAAAAATTGTCTATGTTAATTTTTATTTTAAAAAGCCTACATTTTAAATAAAATAATATTTTTAATATTTTTTAATAATAAAAGAAATGAAAAAAAAATAACACCCACGCTGAGCCTCGAACCTAGTTTGCGGGGGTACGAAGCTGTGTACCTAACCTATAGGCTAAGCTCGACGTTACAAATAAGCTCATGCGAGGCTATTTCAGGCCATACGTCTACCGCGAGGGGGCGCTGATTGCGAGTGAATCTACGTTTTATCGTAAATAAAAATGCAACGAAGGGTTATTTCTAAAGAGTAATTAGCCAGAAACCATCCCGGTAGTATACTAAACATCTTCCCAAAGTTTCATCACGATTGGTTGAGCGATGTAGAAGATTATCACTGACGAACGGACGGACGGACGGACCAACGGACCAACAAACATCCATTTTTATATATATAGATATACATATATATTGTAGCTACAGAATGCCCAATTTTTAATTTGCACCTCACGTTTCTACTCACAAGTTTCTGATAAGATGCAAGTGCCTACATCTTTTGGTTTTTAAAAGGAAGGCGTGAAGTCCACGAAGAATAACTCAGTTTGTTCAACATTTACATAAAGAAATAAAAAACCTTCGAGACTATTGAATTATCTCTTTTTATTTTCTTACTTAGCAAATGAAATTCGAAGAATTCTTCAATTTATCTTCCTAACAAAATTATGTTAGCTCACCGCGGAATATTCAATGATATCATAGAATAGGGAACTCTAAATTATTCCGTGGTAATTAAATTCTAAGTCACGCCTGTAATTAGGGCAAACATATTTCGTACTGGAGAATTTAATGCCATAGCTTACCTATACAGTCGTCTGCTTAAATTGGAAGCCTTACATTACATTAGAATACTTTGTACATTGTCCAGATACTTCTGAATTCAAAACTTTATATCAGTTGTTCTAATGAAAAGGTGAATAAGTCGCTAAATGGAAGATATAATCGTTAAATAAAGTCCCTGTGTATTTCCTATCGAACGGTGTCAATCATTGTATTTGTTGAAGCTGAAAAATTAAAAGAAAAGGTGCTGTGCTTATAAATAATTAGTGAGATTAAAACTAATTTATTAATCGTTATTAAAAAATTGTAGCAAAGTATTT